AATCGCGACGACCGGACAAAGTCTCCTATAGAAGGACTTAATTGACTTTTTTATGAAAGTTCGAGGACCTATTTGACAGTTTTCCCTATATAATATCTATTGCACTCTTTTAATTTTTTAATAGCAGTGCATCACCTTTTCATTTTTCTTGAGTTCTTCTTTATTTTTCGTCAATTCTTTTCTCCATTTCCATCAAAGTATTAAAAATTTAATTTCAATTTTACTTCTTTATCTTCAACTTAAATTACAACTCAATTAATCTATTTTTTTATTCGTTATAAATTCATAACAAAATTTTTACTAATCAAACTAAGATAGTATAATATATTGCATTTCATATTCCAAAACTATTTTTATTTCTGTAAAATTTTCTATATTCAAACACATTTTTAGTAATATACAACATCCGTCCCAAAGTACTTAGTCAACTTTAAAATCTTGACCAACTATATATTTTTATGAGAAATTATTTACAACATGCAAATGATATGAAATGTTTTCCTTAAAAGTAGTTTTATAAAAGTTCAAAAATTACTTCCATAATATTACTTATCAAAATCATGGTCTAAATTTTAAGAGATAATTAATTATTTTTGGACTGAGGTAGTATTTTTTAAATTCATACGTTTTTTTCTATAACAGGTAGTATATTTTTTTAGCTCTTTATACTTTGTTCATTAATTCTTAAATTAGTGCAACATTTTTTAATTTTACATTATTCACATGTTCTACTTTGACTACACTCTATTTATTAATGTATAAATAATTTATTTTTAAAAAATATTGTTAAATTTATCTCATTGTAATTTTTAATTTATTTTAATTTTTAAATAATAGATAATTTTATATATTAATGGTCAAAGTTGTGCATCGCAAAACATGAAAAATGGACTATTGCACTTATTTAAGAACGGAGGAAGTATGTTTTTAGAGGTTTTTTTTTTTAATTATGAAAATCGGCTTACATATATCTCAAACCATTTGGAAAGCAGGAAAACAGACAAAATAACATAGGAAAACCGCCGTCCCACGAACCAGAGTCGGAGTCAATCACCTCAGTAATGTAACTCGCTGATCCAAAATTGGGCACAACTGAGCCAGTGACGGTAATCATAGTTAAATCATCTCCTACCACCCAATCCAAACATATTGTTTTATAACCAGAAGCATAAAAAACACACCAAAAGAAAACACAAGACCTGCCTGAATCCGAAAAAACACACCAAACAAAGAAATAAAAACCAAAGACACAAACAGACACACCGCAACACCGCCTTGCCTTCTTCTGTCTCACCACCTCCCCCGACGAGCTTACCCCTCTAAGTCCGTCTCCTCCCCATTTTTTGCGTTATCCAAAGCCATCTCCTCTGTATTCTGGGTTTGAGTTGTGATGGTCCCTGATAGAGGTGAAAGTCTAGAGGGGGGGGGGGGGTGAATAGACTTTCAAAGATCTTTAAACTTTTTAAAGAGTTTCTTTCATAGGTATGATGATCTGAAATCTTTTGAGAGATTTAGGATTGCAGCGGAAGTTTTGACCCTTTTTGACTGTGAATGGTAACTTTCTTAGAAGAGGATAGGAGGGAAGAAGTATTTGTATTTTGAACAACTTATCTTTAGTGACTGAAGTGTGTAGTAGAATGGAGACTCTGCTTTGAAGATCTTTCGGTGAGATCCTCTGATGATCTTGAATCAGACTTCCTTCAGTGAGGTCCTCTTGGATCAGAGACCCTTTAGTGAGGTCATCTGATGATCTTGGATCAGAGACCCTTTAGTGAGGTCCTCTGATGATCTTGGATCAGAGACCCTTCAGTGAGGTCCTCTGATGTCTTTGAGTCAGAGACCCTTAAGTGAGGTCCTCTGATGATTTTGGATCAGAGAAATAGATTGACACAAGATGTATCCTGGTTCAGAGGTGGTGTAATCCTCTTACATCCAGTCCCATCCTCTTTCAGATGGATTTCCACTAAAGTATTCAGCCCAATACAATTAGTGACCGTCTGGCTGTTATCACCAACCTGCTCAGACTTCAAGGTGTTTCACTAAGAGTACACACCACTCTTAGCTACTCAATCCTTTAGGTTTTTCTCAATTGATCCAGTGGGGATCAAAATGTACTCTATCCTATTCTACCACACTTAAGGACTTAGATGACGCTATCCTTATAAGTGTTTACAACAGTTTCAATATGAAACAAATTTCTAGCCTCCAACTAAAAACTAAACTTTCTGAGTGTATCAATAAGGATTTCTGTTCTAGAAAGTTTAGTGAAGCATGAGTCTAAGCAGAGAGCAGAATTTAATGAACACTTTCTCTATTGCTGGATATCTTCTTTGTGTAGTATGATTTCTCTGCTTAGTGAACTCATGAGCTTGTTTTTCTTCTCATGCTTATGCCCGAATTTATAGGCATCTCTGGTTGATTAATCTCCTCCGTTGGTTGAGAGGATCTAATCTATGTCGTTGAGGCTTCTTGTACTTTCGTCTTCTTGTGTTGTAGCAGCTTATCTTCAGACGCAATTGGAGCAACTTGCTTTGCAGGAAATGTAAACCCATTCCTTAGGCCTTTTACGCATTATTCACCATCTAGTGGGGTTTTGTCTTCACAGGCAACTCTGTGTGTTGTAGTGTCCCATGCTTTTTTAGATGCTCTGGCCTTAGAAAAATATTGTGTCCTTGGTCTTTCTTTAACACATAAATTTAACTGGTAGGAAAAATATCCTTATTAAGGTAATTAAAAATTTACCTTATTGCATTTTATATTTCCAGTCAAGTTTATGTGTTTCCGAAAGTGTACAGGTAGGATTGGTCATATTTGTACTAGTGACAAGAATAGTTTTTATAACAAATAAAAACATACTGGATGGATTTGAATATCCTTGCAAGGTAGAATTTTACCTTATTGTATTTTAACATTTCCAGTATATTTATTTGTCATAAAAATTGTACAATGTTAATATTTTGTCACTGTTACAAAGTATTCTTGTTTAAGCAATTTGAGAACCTACTCCTGTTTTTAAAACGAGTATACAATTTTTATAATAGAATCTAAACACAAGAGAAGGATGGCATCATCAAAACTATCTCTTATAATAGTAGGTTACATCAAAGTCTGAGGGACCTAACAAGTTGTCTCTATTTCCCAAGTGCGTCTACGCTTCTCACCCGAAACGTCTTCACTTTGTTTCAGAACCATTTCCTTATTGGAAGTACTACCGGAGTAAGTTGCATCTTCATTAACACTCAGCGCCTTTCCTGCTTTTCCTTGCTCCTTCCACCCCTGGCTCTCTCTTCCCAAGCTCGAGTCTTCCCCAATTAACCATTTGTTTTTTCCTGTTGGGCTGGTCTTCACCCCTCCACCTACCTTAAGGGACGCATCAAAACTCTTTTCCAGCACAAGCCCCTCCTCAAACATAAATGGGCAGAACTTTTCAGAGCGCCCGGCCATGACCCCACATATAAAACAAAAATTGGGTAGCTTCTCATACTCGAAGTCTACCCAATATCCCACACCCTCCTTTTTCAGCCTTGTACCCTTCTTTAAGGGAAACTCCACATTAATACAAGCTTTAACCCGCATATACGACCTCCACTGTTCCCCATAGCTGTTTTTATCATAATCAACAAATTTCCCCAAAAAGTTACCCACCTTCCTAGCAGTACCTAAATTCAATAGGCCATATGGGACATTATGAACCCTAACCCAGAATTCGGCCTCATTCAGAGTAATCTTGTGAAGAATATCAGTTGGTTTGATCTCCTTTACAATCAATAAATTCCTCTCAAACTGCCATGGTCCACCTTCAATCACACGCTTCATATCAACGGGATGATTAAAATTAAAAATATACCTTTTGTCTTCTATTTCCTTGATCTCCATACCTCTGCCTGGCCTCCACACCGATGCCATCGCCACCTTGAAGCCTGCAAAGTTGATCTTCCGGTCTGCAATCAACGCTTCAACCACCGAGAACCGCGGGCGAACCACCTCCCAGATCTCCTCTCCTTCCTCAGCGTCATCGCAATCCAGTTCTGTCTCCTTCTCCGCCACCTTCATCCTTCGGTACCTATCCGCTATAGTCTCCATCCGAACGCACAGCAATACGCAGAATTCCTCCTCCTCGTTCGCAGCTTAGTCCCGCAATCCTCAAGCTTTATTTCTTTAGTCCTTCGCTCCACTCCACCCTCTTTATAGCCTCGAACTCCTTTGAGTTTCGATACTTCCGAAGAGCCACCGCGCCTCGGCTTAATCGCCAAGACTGGAAAAACCCACTAGTGGCGTTAAGCCCTAGACTCTTACAAGTTATAATCACAAAGCCACAAAGTTAGGTTTTCTATGACATTAAGTTTGTTTATTGAGTTACATTTGATAATATATTGAGTTAGATCTTCTTTTGCACGATTTACATCTTTAGTGCGCGATTTACAGCTTCTTATGCGCGATTTACATCTTCATATGCGCGAATTACATCTTGTTATGCATGATTTGCATCTTCGATCATGTGCACGAGTTACATCTATTTATGCACAAGTTATATCTTCTTATGCGAGAGTTAAATCTTCGTATGCACGAGTGACATCTTCGCATTCGTGAGTAATTACATTTGGACTTGTCTCAACAAGTTACATTTCGCATACACGTAAATTACATTTTTGATCAATGCGAGTTGCATGTGTCATGATGACATATACTTCGTACTACGTATAATGTTTATTGTTTTTATAGATTTTGGGTGTATGACAAATAGTTTAACAAAATAAAAAACTACGCAGTAGTAATCAGTACTATATACGTACTTACGTTAGTTACGTAGTAGTACTACTCCTACGAAAATAAGTGAGAACCGAAAGGAGTATATATAGATATTGACTTACTATGAAAATAAGTCAATCGTTATATTGATTATAGTCATAAAACACACATGTAGAAAATAGAATACATACATAATTGAAGCTTAGCATATAGAACCAACTCAACCAAGCGTGAGGTTCCATGCAAGCGGGCTGGAACACACATACATGTAGAAGGGATAGTGATCACACAGCTAGCTTATTCGTAATGATATAGGTATTCCGTATATGTATGATGTATACATGCATACATACATGACACATATAGATATATACGAGTATATATATTGTTAGCCCATCAAACAACAATCAAGGTTTAGGAAGACCAACGGCTTTAATATTATCATTATTACTTTTGGTGGGGAGAACACGTGAGTGACCAATGCCGGGGCTGTGGCCGGGGGTAGTTGGTTGGAAAGTTTCAACATGTGCGGATGCGCCGCCGCCAGAAGTAGGGTGACGAAAACTACTGCCGGGAGGGATTTTGTGATCTGCCGCGCCGCCAAGGCGGCTGAGGGGAGCGGGTCGGAAAGCGTCCGTTGGCGGAACGGCAGACGAAAGAAGAAATACCAAAATGAGAAGACCGAGCATTGGCTTACTAACTCCACCCATTGAGCTAGTTTTGGTGTGCTTACTTAATTATGTTGTGGAATTATGGGTCTCTCAATGGTGTGCTATTTATAGAATGTTTTCAGGAGGCTACAGCAACTCACTGCACCAACCAATAGGCAAGGATGCATTTCTTATTGCGGGCCAGGTAAAAAATTTTAACGGGTCGGGTAAAAAAAATAAAATAAATTGAAGAAGAATCCGTTATGAAATTGACTTTATTAGCTAAATTGATTGACATAGTTCAAATTATAGCTCAATCGATTGAATTATGGAAAAAATAAACGTGTACTTCATTTTTTTTAAATAACTGCACGTATACTACGTACTTGCTACGTATTAGTACATACTACCCCGGTTCTTAAATAAATGCAACATGTTGAATTTTACACTATTCACATGTTGTATTTTGACTACGTTTTATTAATTAATGTATTAATATATTTTATGGAAAAAATATTGTTGAATTTGTCTCATTGTAAATTTTCAAAATCTAATTTTTTATATTTTTTACTAATACAAAATTATATATATTAATTGTCAAAGTTGTGTTTCGGCAAATGTGAAATGTCGACCGTTGCATTTATTTAAGAATGGAGGAAGTATATGTTACCAATAGAATTATACAAAATGTATATGATGAAAAAGATAAACTTCTCTCCTTCAGGCTTCAACAAATTCAACCAATTCAGACATGAACATAAGTCCAGATTCACTCATTTTGATTATTGTTTGAAATTGAGTGTGCAACATCAAAAGTTTAATCCGAATAGAAATGAAAAATGACATAAAAGACTTACTACTTCCGTAACACAAAGATCTTCCCATTTTGACTTTTCACGGTCTTCTAAGTTGAACTTTGACTCTAAATATCTACATATCTATATTTATAAAATTCATAATAAATTAACATTCAAATAATATGTTTTACAATGAGGTATATAAAATAAATTTTTAATCATAACATAATGTGAGTTTTGAATAATTAATGGTCAGAGTTTATAAAGTTTGACCCAATTAAAAGAGTCAAACTGGGAAGATTCTAGGATGACGGAGGTAGTATAAAACTGATAAACCCGAAATCGGGTTATGAAATGGGGTCATAATTGTTCTCTATCAAATTTGAGTCATACATGACGAATTGTTTACGTCAATGTCATTTATTATTTACTTCCTACTTTTCATCTCGTTTTTATTCGATCTCCCTTTTTTCATTCTACTTTTTCCCTTAGTGAATTAACACCTTTACATGAACGTTATGCCTTGATATTATTACCTTCAAGTGTTATTGACGTGCACTTTGTCGTGTGTGCATTCAAAATAATTTCAATACTAACACTTATACGTAGTATAGGTGAAGTGGAATTCGTATCCACAGGGAAAGGAATAACTCTCTTTTTATGTAACTAGTAGATAAAGGGGGGTTTTGATTGAGTGATTTGATTAAAATTAAACACGAAGATGAACGAGTTATATGGGTTTTAATTCAAAGATAAAAGGGACTTGGCATTGCTATTTCCACTTGTTGATATATTTTAGTCGATCATTGTTATATCTATAACTTATCTCCTCTTGAATACTCAATCGAGGAGTATATCCAATTCATCGAGGATAGCTATTAACAACGACCGTTCATTAATAACCCTTACGATTAGTCAAGTATAGAACAACGCCATATACCGACTTGATAGTAGCATTTAATCTCTTAACTCCTTGATGAAATCAATTGAGATTGATAACCTCAACACAACGGTTTCGGTTTTAACCAACAAAATTAATCCCTTTTAAGTTTATTAACCACGACCGTTCATTAATAAACCGAAGTTACTTACTTGTGAAACTATCAACGATTAACCATCGGTTTCGTTGATCGTTTCTAGTAATAATTAATATATGAAACAAAACTAGTTGATCCTTTGAGTAATGTTCAAAATATTAATATGAAATATGAATAGCAATTAATTAATACTCAAGGAAGAATATTAAAGAAAATGAATCCTACTATAGTTAATATCAAGATGTTAACTAATTGTCATCTTAGTAACACTCCCCAATATTAACATAGAGGAAGGAATAGTTATTACTAAGACCAATGTCAAGATGTTAACTAATTGTCATCTTAGTAACACTCCGCAACATTGATATAGAAATAGTATTTAAAGGAAGAATTAATATTCAAGGAAAGAAGTTAAGAAAATAACTCACAACTTTAATAATCAACAAGCTTCAAGAGCAATACCAAGAAATGGAAGTTTAGCTCCTCATTTGGAGACTAAACATGCTAAAAGAAAATATATAAGAAATGCTATTCTAAACTGAGCTTAAGAGTATAAAGGAATTGGTATCTAATTGTGAAGGAAAGGGGGTGTATTTATAGGCTTTTTTGGGGTGCAGGTCGGGTACTCGATCGAGTGTATACATGTACTCGATCGAGTATGTGTAGAATCCTGAATTCGATCCATACTCAATCGAAATTAGAGTAAAATTTAGAGCCATACCCGATCGAGTATGTCGGTGTACCCGATCGGGTATAGACACTCGATCGTGGTCAAAATCTTCCCTGCATGTTCCTTTGTTTTCGGATCCGATCCGATTTGAAATTTCAACAAGATACCCGATCGAGTATAGGTGATACTCGACCGGGTATAGACCAAAAAATCAGGATCATCCCTTTGTCTTGTGATTTTGCACCTTCCTTCCACTTTTGGGGTTCACCAACTGTCCTTTGAGTGATAGTAGACCTGTTTGAGCTCAGAATAAACCTAATCTAAACAATTTACAAGAATTTAACAAACTAAACTATTACACCAAAGTGTGTAATTTCCAAAGTGAAAACCAATCAAAACTACTTAAAATCACAAACGTAAGCATGGAAATTACATGATTATCACTCCCCCACACTTAGTTTCTTTACTCGTCCTCGAGTAAAGTTAAATGTTCACAAGTGTCAAGTCTTCCAAAGTTTAAAAAAAAACACAAAGACCACCAAGGATAAAATATGAGTTTTTAATGCTCAAATTACAAATATCATCTTGGGTTTTATGGCCTTCTAGTGTTCA